AGCAGTGAGAGCCTGCCCGGAGACCTGGCGGAGGAGCAGGAAGGTGTGAGCATCCCCTCCTGCAGGGAGCTATTGGGTGGTGGGGACAGGGTGGAAAAGCCACCAGGGCACATTCAGGGTGTCCCTCGCTCCTCAGTCAGCATGGGGCTCAGCACCGGAGCGTGTCCTCCCCCAGGGTGGTGGCACAGGACAGCCAGCCACCCTGTGCAGGGACCCGTGCTTGTGAGCCAGGTGGGAGGGAAACCACAGCACCCCCAGGGCAGCATCTCCCAGGCTTCTCTTTTTAAAACAGAGCTGCATGAAAGCCCAAACCAGGCTGCTCTGGCCCTGCTGAAGGTTTCTTTGCTGCTTCCCCTCCACCTTATTCAACATCTACCTGACCTGCTCCCTGGCGTGCCAGGAGCCCACTGAGGGGGCAGGCAGCATCTCCCCACTCCCAGCACCTCGCTGCTTCCCCAGGGAAAGCCCAGGCGTGGCGTGGAGGCGTGCAGCGGGAAGTCCACAGCAGCTCCAGCAAGGATGTGGGCGTCCCCAGCCAGACCAGGAGACACATCCAGCCCCTGGGGACCAGCCCTGGCTGGCAGCTGCTGCTGGCAGAGCAGGAGGACGCAGCTCTGGGGACCTTCAGCTGCCGCTTCACGGCTGCTCCGTGGGGCGGTCTGTGATTTCGGGGATGCTCTCCCCTTCCGGCAGCCCTCCTCCCCGTGCCAGGATACGTGTCTCCCCGCATCCCCAAACCACGGGTCCTGCTCAGAGGGCTCGTGCTGCTCGGTGCAGCCCCGCTCCCTGGATCCATCTGTCTCGCAGGCCAAAAGGTCCTGGAAAGGCCACCACGAGCTGATGGCATCACACTGGTCCGTGGGGACAACAGGCCTGTTGACACTGGCCGTGCTGGCTGAGACCCCCCCCCAGCCCCACTCGCCTCCTGCATCCGAGTCCCCGCGAGCGGAGGGGCTGGCAGTATCGGGGTGCCCGACCCCAACGCACCCAACAGCCGCAGGCGGGCAGGACGCGGAGCTCGATGCCCGCTGGGTGAGCGAGCGAGCAACCCCCCCAGCGTGGGTGGGGGTGGTCGCGGGTGGGGACCCCCGGACCGGGGGGGTGGTGGTGAGGCTGTGTGGGTTCAGCCTCCGGATTCATTCCCGGGTGAG